TGGACGTTGCACGGCATGGTGCTTTCCATTATCTTGGGTTACCGGCTGAGAGGGATATTGAATATCAGCCGATTTTATGAAAATAATATCCAAAAGGCCAGCATAATGGACGAAAAATGAAAAAAATGAACGGCGCAAGCCATGTACAGTTATGCATCAAATTTCGAATTTATACTTCTGTTCCCCCGCTTCAGGATTAAGTGACTCCTTTAGTAGAACATTGATGTGATAAACGAGATTGTTTATGCGCTGTTGGATAACCGAAGACAAAACTCAATATCTAGCTTTTAGCGTGCGCTCATTCTTCGCACTTCCTACCCTACTTGCCTCTTACAATTTATTGTTCCAGCTTTTTTTTGTTACTCATTGTAAAATGGTAATCAAATAATGGTAATCAAATGACACACCACGTGTCTGTACTATTTGTATTATCGGCTCACCCCATAATTTACAAAGATTGGAGAGCTTGACGCGAGTGTCACATGTTGGATGATATCATTCTAATACCCAAAAGTTATTAAAAGTTGGTTGCACTACTCACCTTAAGCTGTAACAAATGGGAGGGCTCTATGGCTGTAATAATCAAGCCTGTCCCAATAGGAAAATCCCCTTAAAAGTGCTTACCTGGCTCATGTGATCTCTAGAAGACCGCTGGCGTATGGTACTGCTTGTATTATCTCTATTAGAACCATATGTCGCCAATTCGTTATTTGAAAGAAATTTAGGCAGTAACTGTGAACAGCTCTCAGATTCACTTAAAGACTAAGCGTATTTCACAAACTTTTGGAAGATTTGGTCTTTTCCCTGTATATTCTCATATAACATGAAAAAATCCTTTAAAGAGCTGTAAAATCTTGATTATGGCTTGATTTCTATGATTAAAAACTAGTTTTGCGTGTTTGCTATAAAGCTACGCAATGCAAGCACAATTGCTCTAACTTAGCAGCGCAAATGGAAATTTTTTTTCTTCTCAGGATTGCCGTGAATGCTTGCATAACTGGTCTTC